TGCAATATAAAACGCACTCGGTGGTTCAATTACTAAGGGAGGGAAAGAAACAAATGGCATTGGCCAGTGGTATCACAACGGCCTTTTCCAGCCCATGTGCTCCGCGCTCTGCGCGGGGCATCCACTCTAACTTAACCTAACCTAACTGTTGTTAAGAAACCTAAATCCTCTAAAACTTTGTAATGGCACCCGTTTGATCAAAGTATCTTTTAAAAATTATTTAATAGAGTGTAAGATTATAACTAGATGTGGAACTGGGGAAATAGTATTAATGCCCAGTATACGTATTATTCCGACAGACTTGCCCTTCCCGTTCAGACGGCTGCAATTTCCTTTAAAACTGTGTTTCGCAATGACAATCAACAAATCTCAAGGCCAAACATTAGATGTCGCTGGAGTTGACTTATAAGTCAACTGTTTCTCTCATGGTCAATTTACGTTGCTTTGTGACGAGTCACTAATAAAAACAAACCTTTAATTTTAGCCCCTGGAAAAAGTGCTTAGTATCGTTTACAGAGAAATAATTTAATATACCGCCGATTTCGCAAATTTTTGTAAACAAGAGGATTTTATTTTTGTTTAATTTTTCACTCATGATTTTTTTCTTTTTTCATTAGCTACTGAATTTATCATAGTGTAAAGAAAGTTTAAAGGTAGGCCGCTGTGGTGTAGAGGTAAGCAGTGCGCGCTTCCACTCCGCAACGCCTGGGTTCAAACCCTGGTCAAAGCAAAATCGCAAAAAAATAAAGAAAAAAGGTTTTTTCTTAACTGCGGTCGTTCCTCGGCAGGCAATGGCAAACCTAGGAGTGTATTTCTGCCATGAAAAACAGTTTATCATAAAAATACAATCGCCGTTCGGAGTCGGCGAAAAATTCTAGGTCCCTCTACAAATCGGAGGAGAATCTCGGCCAAACACTAACATATGTGTAAGCGCCAATCTATTAATATTAAAGAAAGTTTAAACATAGAACAAATAAAAAATTAAAAAAGGTGATCTACTAAAAATATTCTACTTTACCGTAAAAACTACAAATATGCAAGAAAACTTAATATTTTCTACTTAACTTAGCCTTAGGCACAGGCTGCGGAAATATACACTCACTTTCGACGCGAACGCGAAGGTGAACGTATCTAATATTCTCTATTGTTTCTCCTTCGCGATCGAGAAGCATAAAACCAGTGTTGCCGCGCCGTCTCAAGAAAATGAATCCCTGACCAAGACAAAAATGTATCCAAATGTATCCAATTTTCTTTTTTTACATACACATCTCATAATTTGTAAGAAAACCAAACATTTTCATGAAAAAGACATAATTTAACCCATCCTAAGGACTTGGAATACGTGTGCATAAAATCAAACATTTGTAATTTCAATTTATAAAGTACATTTTTTGTGCATAAGTATTTTGCAAAGTAAATATAATAAATAGCAAGTACACTCTAAAAAGAGCATGTAAAACTACTACTGAAAAGTATCTATTTTTCAACAAGAATCTGTATAAATATACGTATAGGTTGTTTAGTATTTGATTTTGAACTTGAGATCTTAAAATTTTCAAACTACAAATACATTTCCTACTATTAATAAACATTACTTTATTTTAAACATTTTATGTATAATTTTGCTCTTCCGACAAATTCGTTATGTAAAGTAAACAGGCAATGATTAATTTTATTACACGGCATGCAAATTTGCACACATTAAAAGAGGAAACTGGTTACTTCTCTCAATATGCGCAAATAAACAAAATTTTTTTAGAGTGTATTTAAAGTCTTTTCAGTAAAATTCATAAAAGTTTCCTTTAATAAATCAAATTTAGTTTTTTAAACTATGTACATGGAAATCTTTCTTTTTAAATTAACAAATGAAAATATGTGATATGAAAGAGATTACTACAGAAAGAGTTTTAATTTACTTTAAAGTAAGGGAAAAAAAAACTCTCCAAAAAAGACCTAGGCCTGATAGCTCTACCCCGCAGAGGCGATCCCCGAAGAAATTTGCCAAATCTAGTGAGGGATCTGCAGGGGGCAGGCCGCATGCACCTGCAGATTGTCGCGGGGAGCCAGTTTCATTTAGGGATGCACTGTGCGGAGTGAAGCTGGGTTTAGTCCCAGAGGACTATCCAACCACAGTGTGGTCAACGGATGAGCTCAAAGCTATCCAAAATGCCATCCTCAGGGCGCTCAGGAGCAACACAGTTAGCGCTGTAAAGCCTATCTTCAAGGGTTGCACCTTCCACTCGGGATGGCTATCCATCAGTTGCAGAGATGCTGCGACCGCGGGGTGGATACGGAACACTGTTCCAAAGCTGGCACCATGGAAGGGGGCGAAGATGAAAGTGGTCGAGGAGGCAGAAACACCTCGCCGCATCATTCTTGTGGGACTCTTCCCGGAGCTGGACAGCTCTGCCAGTGAGGATGCGCTCAGTCTGATTCAGGCACAGAATGACGGCCTGAGAATTCCGGACTGGCGCATTCTGAATCGAGTACGCATGTCAACAATGGCGGAAATCACCATTGCAGTTGACCCGATATCAGCGGACACGATAAAGCACCGCGGGAACGTGGTAAACTATGGCTTTGGCGTAGTAAAACTTAGGGAGAAAGCCAAACCGTCGATGCCCGTGGTAGACAAAGATGCCGCCGACACCGAATACCCTAACTCGGAGGAGCAACCTTGCTGCTCCAAAGACGTCATCGTAGCTCCCAGGCAGCTACCCAATGACACGCAAGTGCAGCAGAAGTCATCGGAGGTTGGCACAGAGCTACACGTAGCATACAAAGCTCCAACAACGCCTCCGAAAACAGCAACAACAACATGCCCGACCCTACAACAGGTGCTGGAAGAAGCCCAAAAAAGCGTTGGACCCATCGCATCCCCAAAGCCTGCAAAACGGCCACCACTACATGGCAGCTCCAAAGCGGCTATGTCCAGCCGCAAAGGCAAGGGAGATGCAAGGACGGCCGAAGAAGCGGTCTTGCTGAAGGGCAACAGGGGGAAGAAGGTGGCTGCTCGCGGCCGAAAAGACCGCAAGTAATGGCACCTCACCCCAAAAACTCCACAAATCTGAGGCACATTAAATGCCTCCAAGTGAACCTTCACCACGCGAAAGCAGCATCAGATGTTTTACATAGGAGGTTCACAAACGAAGGCTTAGGTGTAGCCTTCATCCAGGAACCCTGGATATTAAGAGGTGACGTCAAAGGCCTTAATATAAAGGACGGTAAGATCATCTATGCCGCCAGCTGTCGCCCAAGAGCGGCGATGCTATTATGTAACAAAATAACGTTTCTCCCTCTTTCACAGTTCATTACGGCAGATCTCGTTGCGGTATGGGCCAAAATTCCTACTCCTAGGGGGGTGCAAGAGGCAGTACTTGCCTCCGCGTACTTCCCGGGTGAGGAGGAGATAGCCCCGACACCTGAGGTAAAGGCGCTTACGGATCACTGCCGGCAGAGTGGTATACCCTGGATCCTCTGCTGTGATGCAAATGCCCATAGCACTGTCTGGGGGAGCACCGACACCAACAAAAGAGGTGAGTACCTCCTTGATTTTATAAGTAGTTATAATATAAGTATTATAAACCATGGCAATGAACCAACGTTCAGGAACGCTATTAGAGGGGAAGTCTTAGATCTTACTCTAAGTAGTCAGAACATGGCAGCTTCTGTCACAAACTGGCGCGTCTCAGGGGAGGTATCAATGTCGGACCATATGCACATAGAATTCGACATTGGCCACTTTCCTGAGCATGAACTAGTTTTTAGAAATCCCAGAAAAACGAACTGGGAATTCTTTCGCTTTATCATGGAAGAAGGTGGAAACAGCCATGGTGGTCAAATTACGACTGCGCACGAGCTTGAAACTGAAGCTGAACAGCTTCATTCAGACATTGGAATAGCTTTCAATAGTAGCTGTCCCCAAGGAAAGGTAAAATCCAAACGTGATGTGCCTTGGTGGAGCAAGAAGCTTGAGCAAATGAGATGCCAAGCCAGAAAACTATTCAATAGAGCAAAGAATACGGGTGATTGGAATCCGTACAAACTTGCACTAACTTCTTACAACAAAGAATTGCGGAAATCCAAAAGAGCTAGCTGGCGAAACCACTGCGAGGAAATAAAGAGCCTCCCAGAGGCAGTACGCCTCCAAAAAGCTCTAAATAGGGAACACAAAAATACGATCGGCACTCTAAAGAAACCAGATGGTAGTTATACTCAGCATCCGGGAGAGACTTGCAGACTTCTGCTAGACACTCACTTCCCGGGCTGCAAAGCGGGTTATTATCTACCGGAATTGGGTGTCCCAGCATGCACTTCTGGTAGAGAGCAAAGCCTTGCAACTAAACTTACCACGGTAGAANTGTCAACAATGGCGGAAATCACCATTGCAGTTGACCCGATATCAGCGGACACGATAAAGCACCGCGGGAACGTGGTAAACTATGGCTTTGGCGTAGTAAAACTTAGGGAGAAAGCCAAACCGTCGATGCCCGTGGTAGACAAAGATGCCGCCGACACCGAATACCCTAACTCGGAGGAGCAACCTTGCTGCTCCAAAGACGTCATCGTAGCTCCCAGGCAGCTANTGCGTCGCTCCTACTGGGTCACATTCCCAGTAGATGGACTGAGGCAAAGGTGGTATTTTTACCAAAGGCAGGTTAACCGGAGCAAATGCCTTCATCCTACAGACCAATTAGCCTCAGCTCCTTTCTCCTAAAAGGCATGGAGAAAATCTTGGATCANCAGATGCAAGGACGTCCGAAGAAGCGGTCTTGCTGAAGGGCAACAGGGGGAAGAAGGTGGCTGCTCGCGGCCGAAAAGACCGCAAGTAATGGCACCTCACCCCAAAAACTCCACAAATCNCTCCTTTCTCCTAAAAGGCATGGAGAAAATCTTGGATCAACATATCAGAGAAGTCAATCTAGCGGAACGACCACTGAAAAAGAACCAATTTGACAGGTTGCCCTCGAGGGGGTGTACTCTCTCCTCTTCTGTGGACTATGGTTATAGACGAACTCCTGTTCCTACTGAACGACTATGGCTTTGAAACACAAGGATATGCAGACGATCTGGTAATTTGTGTAACAGGGCTGCATGACGAAACGATCTCCAACCGCATGCAACAAGCCCTGCGCATTACGCAAAGATGGTGTGACACCAAAGGATTATCCATTAATCCTACTAAATCTATTCTGGTTCCGTTTACCCGGAGGAAAAAGTTATCCATGACAGAATTGACTCTGGGCGGCACTAGAATAGGGCTCTCAAATGAAGCAAAATACCTGGGGGTGTGGCTAGATAAGACACTCACCTGGAATGTACATTTGGATGCAACCGTAAACAAGGCAATGAGAGCCTTCTTCGCATGCAAGCTACTTTACGGGAAGACATGGGGACTCTTCCCCAAAATGACTTACTGGTCATTCAACACAGTTGTGAAGCCGATAGTCACCTATGCATCCTTGGCATGGTGGACAAAAGCGACACAAAGAACTGCTAGCGCAAAACTAAGCAAACTACACCGAATGGTGTGCATTGGTATAACAGGGGCTATGCGGACCTGTCCTGCTGATGCACTTAGTGCTCTTGTAGGCATACCGCCCTTCCCAATTCTAATAGAGAGGGAGGCCAGTCAATCGGCACAGAGAATCCTAAACACTTCCGAGCTAAAAACCGGAAACATGACAGGTCATATGAAGGTCCTTATGAAATTCACAAATGACCCCATAATGCATATGAGGGACTCAGTAGCTCCGATACTAGTAATTTCTAGGAATTTCAAGGTATCTATTGCGGACCGAGCATCCTGGAGCACAGGAAACCCCTACACCAAACCCGGAGCTGAAGTTTGGTACACTGACGGATCAAAACTTGAAGATGGAAAAACTGGAGCTGGTATATTTGGGCCGAATTTTAAAAGATCGATACCAATGGGCAGCTACCCCACCATTTTCCAAGCAGAGATTCATGCGATCGATATCTGTGGCAGAGAATGCCTCAGAAGAGGCACTACATCCTCTAAAATCTGCATTATGTCGGACAGTCAGGCTGCCTTGCTAGCACTGAGGTCCCACATAATAACATCCAAACTAGTGTACGACTGCCTCAACACCCTAAACGGTCTTGGAAGCAAGAACAAAGTATTACTGGGCTGGGTGCCGGGGCACGAGGGCCATGACGGCAATGAACAGGCGGACCGCCTAGCAAAACACGGAGCTACCACACTATTCTATGGCCCGGAACCCTTCTGCGGGCTCACCAAAGCCCACTTAAGGGAGGTCATAAACAAGTGGGTCGACAAAAAATTCGAAAGGCACTGGAATGAATGTCCGGGGCAAAGACAAGCTAAGCGGTTCATCTGTCCATCACAAGAAGCTTCAAAAAAGCTCATAAATCTAGGCAGGGAGGACCTTCGAACTCTCACTGGGTACTTCACGGGACATTGTTCCCTGCGTTATCACCTCAGTAAAATGAATCTTTCAGACACGAGCGTCTGTCGCTTCTGTGAGATGGACGAAGAAACGCCAGAACACATCCTTTGTGAATGTGTTGCTCTCGCTAGACGCAGACTCGCTCACCTAGGTGGTACAACACTTAATCCATTCGAAATATGGAACAAAAAGCCCATCGAAGTGCTAGCTTATATTAAAAGCCTTCATATATAGGGTAAAGGGCCACGCACAATAGACCACCCTAGAGGTCGCAGTGCTCAAGGCTCATAATAATAATAATAATACTTTAAAGTACAAAACCGCGTATCGTCATTCTGCAAAACCGCGTAACTGACATTTGCTGCCGAAAATTGGATTTGCTCACACAAGCTCTTGGCTCAATCCTTATCCATTAGTCCTGAAATATACTAGCGATTGCTTTATAAAAAAGAGAACCATTTTGAAATATATGTGTTTTTACTCTCTAGAAAATAATTTATGCAACGTCACATACGCGGTTTTGCATTTTGTTGATACGCGCTTTTGTACTTTAAACGACGGTATGTATATTAAGATCTTGCGTAAAGCATCCTTTTAAGCTAATTAAAGCAATTGCGCTTATACCTATTTTGGTGCGATCTCTTCATATGTTCATTGCTTCGTTTACAAAAAATAAAATGCTTTAATTTCACGCTTAAGGAGCGATTTTTGAACGAAAAAAACTTGATAGGAAATATAAAATTTTGGCCTATTTAAAAAAGTATCCACATTTATACTGACCGGAAAAAACAAGTATCCCGCAAAAGTTCGTCTAAAAATGTATCCAATTGGATCTATTTAGATCCAAACGGCATCCCTGCATAAAACCAGTCCAGATAGTTCGCGTTCGCGAATGTTAGGTATAAAAAATTTCCGCTGTTGTGCGTACGCGTATGTATTGGTGGACTAAATAGCGTGCGTTCATATATGTAGCCATAAGTGGCAGCGATGCCTTCGCGAAGGTTCACTGCTGTCGTTCTTGTTCATAAGTGAATAGGGGTATTCTCCAAATCTTGCAAAGCCATTGCACGTAGCACAGATTGCATGGATTGCATAACTTGCAAACACGCAACAACAAAATATATGGGAAATAACATTTCCTATCGCTGCAAAATATGCAACGTCGAAACCCATGTATATATTTTGCAAAATATCATAGCAAGATAAATGCGGCACTGCGGTAGTTGTTTTGTTGTTGGAATCGCTACATATTTCTCTGGTTCCTGTCATCCCGCTCACTTCTTTTTTTGCTGTCTCTTGTTATTGTATTTGATATATAATTTCGCTGCTTGCTACCCATGCATGCTATGGGGTGCCCTCGTACTCTACGACATTTGGAATAGTATTNGCGTACGCGTATGTATTGGTGGACTAAATAGCGTGCGTTCATATATGTAGCCATAAGTGGCAGCGATGCCTTCGCGAAGGTTCACTGCTGTCGTTCTTGTTCATAAGTGAATAGGGGTATTCTCCAAATCTTGCAAAGCCATTGCACGTAGCACAGATTGCATGGATTGCATAACTTGCAAACACGCAACAACAAAATATATGGGAAATAACATTTCCTATCGCTGCAAAATATGCAACGTCGAAACCCATGTATATATTTTGCAAAATATCATAGCAAGATAAATGCGGCACTGCGGTAGTTGTTTTGTTGTTGGAATCGCTACATATTTCTCTGGTTCCTGTCATCCCGCTCACTTCTTTTTTTGCTGTCTCTTGTTATTGTATTTGATATATAATTTCGCTGCTTGCTACCCATGCATGCTATGGGGTGCCCTCGTACTCTACGACATTTGGAATAGTATTTTTGCATTTCATGCAATCCGTGCATCGTTCAAGACTTCGAGAATACCCCTAATTTAAATGCTGCGGCAAACATTCGCGGAAAGTTGGTCTGGCTGGAGATACTATTCTATGCGAAGGCAATTTTGTTAATTGCATAAGATTTGCACGGTTCATTCGATTTTCAAAAGTGAGGTGTCAAATGAAAGGGCTTGGCCTCTAGATATGCAGTAGGGCAATAGCTTTTTAATAGGGTTGGCACCTGGTGCTGAAGTTATGATATTTACACCGTTCGCCCGATTTTCAAATATTAGGTGTCAAACGAAGAGGCTTGGCCAACAGATGGGAAAGTAATGTTTATTTTTTTAATACGTTTTTATATGTTCTTGTTTTCAGCTGATTAAGTTAAGCGACATTTTGACTAGATTTTACTATTTTTTCTTTTGTTTATTTTATGTTTACATTTCTTTTTTTTATAAAAGTCTGGCCCTTTACATATCCAGCGAAACATAAATCTACTTTTCAAGCTTCGTACAAAAAATCAACAAACTTTATCTACACCCAAAAATTTCAAACTTTCTTTTAGGTACGCAGTGTTATAGCCTCTTTAATTTTAGTGGGTTAAAGTGCGAATTTCAAGACACTAGGAAATCGCGATATCTTTATACCCGAGCGCACTTGTGCACAAGGGTATTATAACTTTGTTCGCATAACGGTTGTTTGTAACAGGCAAAACGAATCGAGATAGATATAGACAAATGTATACATAAATGATCAGAATGAAAAGAGAAATCGATTAAGCGGTGACTGTCTGTCCGCCCGTCCGTCCGTTCGTCCGCCCGTCTGTCCGTCCGTCTGTGCACACGATAACTCGAGTAATAATTAAGATATCTTATCGAAACTTGGTACGTGTACTTCATTCGGGCGTTGGACGGACGGTATTTGAAAATGGGCAAAATCGGACAATAACCACGCCTACCTCCCATATAACGGTAATTTTCAGAAATACGAAAACTGCGATATTTTAGTAACTACTGAAGATAATTCACTCAAAATTGATATTTACAATAAATTTTAGAAGATTAATAAGAATATTGAAATTTTTTGGAAAATGGGCGTAGCCACGCCCACGTATGGTTACAAGTGGTAACCGCTGCACCAATTTCTTTCAAACTTGGCACAGTTGTTGGCCCTGTTACAGCATACCAAATGGCCGAAAATTTTTAAAATCGGACAATAACCACGCCCACATCCCATATAACGGTAATTTCGAGAAATACGAAATCCTCGATAAATCAGTAAATATTAAAGCTAATTTATTCAAAATTGATGGTTGGAACAATTCTTTACCAGGAAATACGCTTATGATACAATTTTGGAAAATTGGCGTGGCACCGCCCACTTATGATCTTATATATGTATCTCGCTAACCGTTCTAGCAATTTGTACCAAACTCGGTATGGTTATTGTGCTTGCCACATAAAAGCAAACCATTGAAAATTGTTGAAATCGGACTAAAATTAAGGCCGCTTTTCATATAACGGTAAATTTCAGAAATGCTTGAAATTTCAATATTTCGAAATTTAAGGACGCTAGTTTACTTAAAATTTATATACCCCGGCATATCATGTAGCGGTAGCTTTTGGAAAGGTGGAAAACATATATTTAATACTTGCGCCGGGTATTTAATGTTCGGCTCCGCCCGAACTTAGACTTTCTGACTTGTGAAATAATCTTTCTGGCTGGTTGACAGTGTTGCGCATTTTCTACCATATAAAGTATTCTCCTGAAGAGAAACGCACTTTGCCGATTGAAAAATATTGGTTTTTAAAGATTCTATACCATTTTCACGAAAAACTGTTTTTCTTTTTGCCATATAAAATACATGGGAAACTTTGAGCGCTTTGAGCACCCTCTTAATATTTATTGATTAAAAAACAGGGTTATATTTTTGCGATGTAGAGAAATCATAGCATTAAAATTTCGACTTTACTTTTTTTGGAGCACTCTTTTGTGTTCTTCATGTTTAATTTTTTTTTATAAAAGTCTAGCGCATTATATAACAAGCACCATGTAAATCCACACATCAAACTTTGTACAAAAATTATAAAAATTCAACAAATTTACCAAACTTTTTATTCAGAATTTTCAGAAACATTTCGGGTATGCAGTTTAAATTGTGGTAGGTTAAGGCCAGTATCAAGCTCTCAAGAAAACGGACAAGAAAAAAACGCCATTACTTCGTGTGTTTGTCCAAGGAATTTTGACATCTGATACTTCACAGCCTGTTGCCGCACTCCTTCCCCAAGAAATAATAAAACGGACATATATTTCTGTTGCAAACATGGGTTGCCTTGTGCTCGTTTTTCAGTAAACACTTTAGATAACCGTAGTAGAAAGCGTAGCAAATTTCTTAAGAATTTGCTTTCCTTGAAAGCTACATACTGGCCTTTAAAGTGCAAATTTCAAGACGCTAGAAAATCGCGTTGATTTTTAATATATATTTTTTTTTTTGCTGACGGTGCTAGGCATTTGCTTCCTTATAAAATAAATTGTCGAGCAAAAAAAAAATAGTAGTATTAATCCACTTAAATTTAATGGGCTATAACACTGCGTACCCAAAAAAAGTTTGAAATTTTTGGGTGTAGATAATTGATAAAGTTTGTTGAATTTTCGTACGAAGCGTAAACATAAAATAATAGAAAGAAAAATAGTGAAAACTAGTCCAAATGTCGCTTAGCTTAATCAGCATATAAGAAGGTAGAAACCATATTCAAAAAACTAAACCCTACTTTCGCATCTGTTGGCCAAACCTCTTCGTTTGACACCTCATACTTGAAAATCGGGCGAACGGTGTAAATATCATAATTTCAAAAGCAGGTGGCACCCTATTAAAAAACTACAACCTTCCTCGACATCTAGAGGCCAAGCCCTTTCATTTGACACCTCATTTTTGAAAATCGAGTAAACGGTGCAAATCTTATGCAATTAACAAAATTGCCTTAGCATAGAATAAGATCTCCAGCCACACCAACTTTTCGCGAATGTTCCACACATTCACTTATGAACGCACGCTGTTTGGTCCAGCAATACATACGCGTACGAACAACAGCGGACATTTTTTTTACCTAACATTCGCGAACGCGAACTATCTGGACTGGTTTTCGCGTAGGTGAATCAATAGAGAATATTTGGTACGTTCACGTTCGCGTATAAAATCATAAATGTGGGTACGCGAACGTTAATATATGGAAATTTCCGAACCCTTCTTAGGCATATGTTGGTTAAATCAAATTCAAATGGGTTGAATTTGTGAATAATCATTTTTCAGTTAAATTACTTTGCCGAAACCAATACTAAATATTGTGTAATAAGTTGGGCTGCCTTCTCAAGCATAGCGTGTATGT